CCAATGATTGTGGACTGTATGATTTGATTTACCGGTTGCGAGGGAAAAGAGTGGGAGCCAATTGCTTGGGTTTATTGAAAGATTAACACTCACACCCTTTCATGTATAACAAAATAATAAAGTATATTAATAGCAGAAATTAGAACACTTGATGAGAAAAAATTGAAAAACTGTGGTAAATAACAAAATTACGTTTTATGTGCGCTAGTTTAAGGATATTGAACGAAGTTAAAGAACAGTTATTTTAGTAATATAATTTAACTGAAAATAATGTTGGTTGAGTCACGCGAGTGAATTACACAAGACATTTTCTCTTTCTATTTAAAATTATATACTCGAGAAAATGTCTACTTGGTAGGTGTACACAGTGACCACACTGTGGTTCACTGGACGAGCGATCGGTGCTGACTGACAGGCGAGCAGTCGTGAGCAGTCAAAGTAACTTAAACGTGGAGCGCTATGATTGGTGGTCACGCAGGACCATCGTACACACGCTATTGGTTACAAAATACTAAAGTTCATTGCTAGCGCGCGAGTAAATAAATTCTGTATAACTAATGTTTGTAATACTAATTTGATGTTGAACACTTAGGGAACAATATATAGTAACGAGCCAGGTGAAGTAATAGGTTATATACTTCATATTTTTACTGTTAAGGTTAAGGAGAATACATGGATGGTAATGATAATAACTCATCGCCCACTTGTAAAAAAAAAACAAATAATGTGTTCCAAAAAAAATTCATAAAAGAGGGTTATTAACAAGTCAAGAAGTAAAAAAATTTATTTTTATAAATTAAATGTTAAACAGCCATATTTCTAACATTCCAAAAAAAATTTATAATGGATATTTTCCCGTTTTTAAAAAACGTCTCCAAAATAGTATTACAAGAAAAGATTTAATACGAAAAAAAAAAAAAAAAAATACATTACAAGCAAAAAATTTTACACATCAGCTATAAGATGAAATACGAAAGTTATTTATTAAAATGACGTATTACTTGTTGAGGTGAATCTGAACATGATGTCGTTGAAAACTCTGATAAATAGTTTTGCAAATCACTAAGATGAATCGGATTATCATTCGGCATAACTATTGATAGATCTTGTGAAGGTTCAGAAGCACCTTTAAATAAAAAAAAATTCAAATGAAGTATAATTACTAATATGATTTTTATAAAGTATTAATTCTTTACCAAACTAGTTACCAATTAATTTGGATGTTTCTGTAACAACGGTAGGTGGGCTGGGTGTTAAAGATGAAGTTGATCGTACTACTGTATTTGTGGTTGGATTTGAGCTAGTTACATTAGGTACCCGGTTGGTAGCAAAAGGTCGATTCATACTTCCTAATAAATTTCCAAGACCTCCAATTTGTCCTACTCCACCAAATAGTTGCATTAACTGTTGTTGAGACATATTGTTCAATAAATTTTGTAAATTTCCTTCCGGGTTTCCTCCATTACTTCTTTGTAAGCCGGGTGAGGGAGGATTATTGAGAACTTCATTAATTTTTCTGCAATACTCTTCATCTTTGTCTGTCTTTATATCCTACAATGAAAATAATACATTTATGAGCCTTTTCTACATTTACTTTGCACGAATAATTAAAAAATGGTAAAATGGTTCAAAAAAAGCTTAAACTATGAATTAAAATTCTTACAAAGTTTGTAAAATCTTCGGACGCTGCTGAAAAAGTAAACTAGGAAGGTAAGAACGAATTTTAATTCAGGTAGTAACAGTAAAAGCTTCTAACAACTATGAACAGTTAATCATTTTCAAAATCTAGCTTGGTAAAGGTAAAAGTGACTCACTATCCTATTTACGATGGCTTGGACAGTTAGTGTTGTACATAGGGTAGGATGTCATTGGGCTCCTCATTGAATAAACACTATTTTACAATA